GAATCGGGACCTCACCCAGCAGCTGGCATATGGGAGGAAACTCACTTGACAGAAAACACTTAATAGACTACAATAGAGTCTCGCTTATCCAACATAAATGGATCGGCAGAATGCTGGATAAGGAAAAATGTTGGATAATATGGCAGGATTGAGGAAAACCCTATTAAACATCAAATTACGTTATGATTTTATGAATTAAGCACCAAAACGTCATGTTTTACAAGAGATCAACAGAAAAAGCAGTTCAATACATGGTAACGTTATGTAGTAATTACTGTATTTACAAATTTAGCACCAAAACATCGCAATGTATTGAAACAGCTGTGGATCCAGGCAAGAGGCAGACTGTGTTGGATAATACAGAACGTTGGATGAGCGAAGGTTGGATAAGCGAGACTCTACTGTAGCTGAATGTGTACCAGATAAGCTCTCAGAATTTAACACCCTCTCCAGTACAACCAGAGCGAAGTTTGGATTTTTGGAAAGCTGAAAGTCCTATTATAATAGTGTAAGTAAACTGAGATAATAAGACTGTGTGGAATTTATGTGGGATACCAAGAAATATCAAATCCAGCCCAGCAGTCATCTTATCACATTATATAAGCTTTGGAAACCATCGTGAAGGAACATTATCATGTTGATATCCTGACAATTGGGTGATTTGAAATACTAATAGTGAGAAGAGATAACTTGTTGGTGAGACTATGGTATTAACTAGAAGGGGTTATAAAACTCAGGGACTTTTGCTCTTACCTGTAAATTCCCCTTTAAAGAACCGAAGAGTACAAATGAAAATTACTCAGTTCTTCCCTGGAGGGAGTAGTGGAAGGGACATAGAAAGCAAGGAACAAGGTAATACTACTCCTAGTTTGGACCTTAAGGGTAATCTTAAGGACTACAAAGACATGCCTGGCTATATTAATTTGGCCAATGAACTGTATCTTGTGGAGAATTTTGTTGGTGCATGTAAAATTCAGCTGGTGAGTGTGTTAACTGAAAAATGCAAGGCACGAAGCTGATTGGTTGGGCTATGCCTAAGAAGCTAGCTGAGCCTGGGAGTTTTGGCAACAGTTACATGTTTAGGTTATTGTGCAAGTAGCTTGCCAAGATAGTACAATCTTGTGCTTCTGAGCTGCTGGAAAGAGACTCTTCACATGGACACTTAAGGACCATTTGAATCTCTCTCAATGGACACTGTGTAAATCAATGCAACTGTTCACATGACTGTATATATGTTGCTCTGCATAACAAAGAGTAAACACTTTATTCTTTACTGATCATCTGTGTGGCATATCTTTTCTCTAGAAAGACAGTGTGTAGATCGGTAAAGATGTGAACTACGTGTGATTTTCATTCCGCCACAAACTTGACACCTGAAGTGTCAGTGCAATCTCTGAATGTATACAATGTCGCAACATACAGAGCCCCTTGGGATGCGACAGTGGAAGACCCTATGAACTTTGCTCAAAGTCCTCCCCACTTATCCTTCAAGCTATCCTTGCTCTACCCAATAGTCCAATAACCCCAGCTACCAATGGTATGGCTTGTAGGCACACAACAAATGAGAACAGCCACACAGACTGAGGGGTGGGGAAGGGAGATGGGCTTCAGGCTTGAAGCAACTCATGCGGTGAGAATGAGATAATTCACTGGATGAGGTCGAGGAAAGAAAATTCTTACCAGCTAACCTTCAGAGAGCAGTACTAACCCCATCCTGTGGGGAGGGGCTCTCCCATCAGGCAGTGCAAGATATGGCAAAGTCCTGGCAAGCATCCTCCTGAAGAAGACACCAGAAATTATGCACCACAGCAATCTTGGAGTCTGGGAGGCAGGAGTAGGGCAGGGAGGGACGCAGTGGACGCCAACAGGAAGCTGTCCACCTGGGCCGGAATGGGCTCTGGGCAGGGAAAAGCTGGCATCAACTGTGGCCAGGCTGGTGTGTTGCCTGCAAAATCGACTTCCATAGACAGCACAGATTCTCCAAAGCCACTCAGAGCAACAGCTTCTGTGCCTTGTAGATGCAGAGTCAGCATCCAGGCAACTTGCTACTCATTCAATGTCCTGTAAATCTTAGTTTTTCCCCCAGGAAACAGCCAAGGGGCAGATTTCTTAATTTAACATAATATAACACAAATACAAAACTCAAAGTAATTAGTTATTTTTTTTAAAAAAATGTCTTTATTACAAAAGTAAACAAAAAGGAAGAAATGACTCAACCACGAGAAGGTTGTTTAGCCCTACAAATGTAACACTGCTACAGTCTTGTCTCCCTTCTTTCTTAACTATGCTTTATGGAAATGATTATGGTTTCAAAGATGGTCTGATCTTTTGCTCAACAAGAGCAGCTCCTTTTCCTAGGAAATGTATGAGGAGGCCACCCTTCTGGAAATAACATGGCCTACAACTGGCCAATCAGGAACTCCCCTCACCCTATCTGCGTTCAGAAAAACTGCATGAAGAAAAAGTGAGCATATTTCACAATGACCCCCTCTCCCACCCAAAAAACCCACAAACAAACCCCAAAGAAATTTGTTCCGCAGGCAGGTCCAGCTTATGTTTGGTTCAAACACAGGCGTTATAACCTCTGTGCTAGAAAATGAGCCCCATCATTTGAAAATGCATATTCACAGATGAGATGGCAGTAATGGGAGCAAAAGCTGGGTCGCTGTGAGTTTTCCGGTCTGTATGGCCATGTTCCAGAAGCTTTCTCTCCTGACGTTTCGCCCACATCTATGGCAGGCAAACGCAGAGGTTGTGAGGTTTGTTGGAAACAAGGCAAGAGGAATTTATGTATCTGTGGAATGTCCAGAGTGGAAGAAAGAACTGTAGTCTGCTTGAGACAAGTGTGAATGTTGCAATTAATCACCTTGATTAGCATTGAATAGCCTTGCAGCTTCAAGGCTTGCCTGCTTCCTGCTTACAAAGGATTTTCCCCAAGCAGGAAGCAGCCAAGCATTGAAGCTGCAAGGCTTTTCAATGTGAATTATCAATAATTACAGATACATTTTGGGGAGGGAGGGGTTCAAATTAGCACACCGAACCTCCATAGCAATTGAGCACTTGATGAACCAGTCTGGACAGAACATATTTTTTGAGAACATAGAAATGCTGGACCACTCTAACAACCACCATGTCAGACGACACAGAGAAGCCACTGAAATCCATAAGCATGTGGACAATTTCAACAGAAAGGAGGAAACCATGAAAATGAACAAAATCTGGCTACAAGAATAAAAAGAACTCTAAAATCAGGATAGTAAATAAAGAACACTCAGAAAACAGAGGAATTCCTAACAGGAAATAATCAGGACTAACAAAGGATCCCCCCCCCCCCCCAGGCAGGAATCAGCCAGGCCTTGAAGATGCAAGGCTTTTCAATGCTAGTCAAGGTGATTAATTGCAGCATTCACACTTGCCTCAAACAGCACAGAGTTCTTTCTCTGATCCTGGAAATTAATCCACAGATATATAAACCCCACTTGCCTCGATTCCAACAGACCTCACAACCTCTGAGGATGCCTGCCATAGATGTGGGCGACACATCAGGAGAGAATGCTTCTGGAACATTTTCTGGAACAGCAACCCAGTGATTCCGGCCATGAAAGCCTTTGACAAGACAAGGAGCAAACACTGCTCAAAAATGGGCAGCCTACTGCTCAAAAATGGGCAGCCTGATGAGAGATCCTCATCATGACCCCAGGAAGTCTCACAGGGCTAAAGTGGCACTACAGCCTCAGCAACCTTAACACCAGGGTTCAAGCCGGTTATTATCCAGGGAATGCCTCCACTATATATACCTTGGGTTTGGGCACTCGCCTAAGGAACAAGAATATAAGTACCTGCCTCATTCATCAGCTGCACAGAAGTTGGAACTGTTTTTCTAATTATCCCATAGGCCCTGAGAGCCTAAGAGTTAGCAGCAGCTCCCAGGGTAGTGGGCCACATGCAGAGTTGCTCCGAGTGGTGCCCATTTACCAAAACCTGCAGTCCTGTACACATTTTGCTTCTCAAAATGCATTATAAGCAGATGCACAGCATGTATTCCAGCTGCAATATCTGATTTCTGGAAGCTGCACTGGAAATTTTTAGAACTGCATCGAAGTATTCTATGCCCACATTTCAATGTTGGCTTTGCATCATGCCTTAAACTCATCTTTTAAGTGTAGATGCAAATTCTAGAAAGGAAGCACCCATTACATTGACTTTTCCATCTCTGATGCAATTATATGTTTCACCAGCCAAATGGATATTGTTCACTAAGCCAATAAAAAAAACCAATAAAACCAATAAAAAAAATTAAAAGACACTCAGTTCTTGTGTGTTTTTTCGGGCTATATGGCCATGTTCTAGAGGCATTTCTCCTGACATTTTGTCTGCATCTATGGCAAGCATCCTCAGAGGTGAGGTCTGACCTCACCTCTGAGGATGCTTGCCATAGATGCAGGCGAAACGTCAGGAGAAATGCCTCTAGAACATGGCCATATAGCCCGAAAAAACCCACAAGAACTGAGTGATTTCGGCCATGAAAGCCTTCGACAATACAATTAAAAGACAAGTATAGAAAAAAACTACAAAAGTTCATAGTCTTTGATCTCTCCCAGGAGCTGCTCCAGATAAGTGCAAAGAGTGCTCTCTCTCATAATATAAATCCTGAGTTGTTGTAGGTTTATCTCTTTTAAGTCTCAAGCTTGAATGACAATCTTTGATATTTTTATCTTGTACAATTTTAGTAGGTGGTATGATTCTGCACCATAACTTTTATTGGGTTGTTGTGAGTTTTCCGGGCTATATGGCCATGTTCCAGAAGCATTCTCTCCTGACATTTTGCCTGCATCTATGGCAGGCATCCACAGAGGTTATGAGGTCTGTTGGAAACTAGAAAAAAATGAGGTTTATATATCTGTGGGATATACAGGATTGGGGAAAGAATTCTTGTCTGTTTGAGGTAGGTGTGAATGTTTCAATTGGCCACCTTGATTAGCATTAAATGGCTTTGAAGTTTCAAGGTCTGTCTTCTTACTGTCTGGAGGAATACTTTGTTTGGAGGTGATTAGCTGGACCTGATAGTTTCTTGTCTGGAATTCCCGTTTTCGAGTGTTGGCCTCAAAAACAACAAAGGGTTCCCCCAGGCAGTAAGAAGCCAGACCTTGAAACTTGATTAGCATTAAATGCTAATCAAGGTGGCCAACTGAAATATTCACATAGCTACCTCAAACAGACAAGAGTTTTTTCTCCTACCCTGGACATTCCACAGATATATAAACCTCATTTTGGGTTGTTGTAGGGTTTTTTCGGGCTATGTGGCCATGTTCTAGAGGCATTCTCTCCTGACGTTTTGCCTGCATCTATGGCAAGCATCCTCAGAGGTTTTCCTAGTTTCCAGAAGACCTCACAACCGCTGACGATGCCTGCCATAGATGCAGGTGAAATGTTAGAAGAGAATGCTTCTGGAACACAGCCATACAGCCCATTAAACTCACAACAACCCAGTGATTCCAGCCATGAAAGCCTTGGACAATACAATATTAATCCTTTTAGAAAAAAACACGTATCAATTTACTGAGAAGAAGACTGAGACTGAGGATTTTCCTTGTATTTCTGAGCACAGGCAGTGAAAAAGGGCCCACGTCAATCGAGTTTAGCAAGGCCCAGGGAGCTCCCTACTTTCCTTAGGGCAGCCTAAGAGATCTCTCCCAGGAACGATACTTTCTATATCAATGGAGGAGGCCTGCCATGCGCCTCTGGAAGCTGATGGGATTCCAGAATGTTCTCTGGAAGGGGGATGTACCACTCTAAGGTAGCGACTGACGTCACTTACAAGAGATGCATGTCTGGAAAAGCTGAAGGAAAGACCTGATCCTTCACTTACAAGGAGCATTCCTGAGATATGACTTCAGTGATTCCGATTTTGAAAAAATACAAGCATGATGTTCATGCGATCCCTGATTCTCTGCTGAGATGAGGTTAAAAAGGCACACTTGATTTGTCCCTATGAGATCCAAAATCTGTTTTCAATGAAGCCTAGTTTCTTCAGGAATACAGAACATCAAGCTTCCCTTTATTTTCCTGTGTCAGGAGCAACTTGAGAAACTGCAAGTCGCTTCTGGTGTGAGAGAATTAGCCGTCTGCAAGGACGTTGTCAGGAGACACCTGGATGTTTTGATGTTTCTCACATGTCCCTGCATGGGGAGTTGGAGCTGACAGAGGGAGCTCATCTGCGTTCTCACTGGATTCAGACCTTCAACCTGTCAGTCTTCAGTCCTGCCAGCACAAGGATTTAACTCATTGTGCCACCGGGAGCTTCCCTTATATCCTAAAGACTAGCCGAACGTTCCTACAGTCTTCCAAAGCTCAAAGAAGAATTACAAATTAATTTCAATGCTTTTTTAAAAAAATCACCTGATTCTATGTATGCAAAACAAACCCACTTTGAAAAATCCTTAGAAAAATCTACAAAATGTGTGCAAAAAAAATATCCAGCAGCTTTTAATGAACAGGTTTCAAGTATTTAACATGTATTTAACCTTCCTATGCGCATTAGGGCTGACACAGCAGGATGGGAGGCACTGCTAAAAGGAATTCTAATAGGCATTTTCATGATCTCTCCCCTCCTTTCTATGATTGGTTGAGAATTCAAATGAGAGGATTCAGCCTCCTACAGAGAAAAAAAGCCCAGGGGAGGAAGGTTTCTTTCTGGATTGTCCTGTGAATACAGTCTCTGCTCAGTATTTCCCTTGACAAAAATAGTTATCTGACCAGGAAGTACCAAATGGCAATATCCCCTCTGGGTTGCTGTGTGTTTTCCAGGCTGCATGGCCATGTTCCAGAAGCATTCTCTCCTGATGTTTCACCCACATCTATGGCAGGCATCCTCAGAGGTTGAGGGGGTCACTAGGCAAGAGAGGCTTACATATCTGTGGAATGTCTAGGGCGGGAGAAAGAACTCATGTCTTTCCCCCAGGCAGCGATCAGCCAGGCTTTGAAACTGCAAGGCCATTGAATGCTAATCAAGGTGGCCATTTGCAACATTCATACTTGCGTCAAGCTGACAAAAGTTCTTCCATTAGTACACAGATATATAAATCCCACTTGCCTCGATTCCAACAGACCCCACAACCTCTGAGGATGCCTGCTATAGATGTGGGCGATAAATCAGGAGAGAATAATTCTGGAACGTTGCCAGACAGCCTGGAAAACACACAGCAACCCAGTGATTCTGGCCATGAACACAATATTCCCTTCTCTATTCACATCAGTAGAGGCTTTCCGTAATTTCCACTGATCAGTTAAACAATGGTACTGGGCTGTCCTCATCCTGTTTCTGTTGTTTTGATTCGACTGAAGCAAACAAGGATAGCACCCCGACACAGAGAACCCAGAAGAATGCCTCCTGCTCCTTTCCTAGGGTTCGCGTAACCTAGCATTCTTCTTGCTCCCATCAGTTGGAACAGTAGCGTCGTCCTCGGCAAACCAGCTCAGCAGGCCACACTTGCTGCTAAGGCAAGGAGTGCCATGTCCTCAAACGGTGCGCTGTGCCTCAAGGCTCAGCCAAAGAACACTTTTCCCTCTCACTGCTCACGCAAAGCGGCTAGGCTGACCGACTAATGCCAGCTTCATCAAGGAGCAAGTCTGAACTAAATGCTGTATGTGGTATCCCCCTTCTCTACACCACTGCCACGTCCCTATGCTTCATATTTCCCAACCAGTCCCTACCGCAGACCCTCTGAGAATGGGTGGTTCTTAAGAAACGACCTTCTTCCCGACGAGGGACGTGGTTTGCTCTAAGCAGCTCTACCGAGAGCTTAGATGCAGCAGTCCACAAGGTCTAGGCAAGTCCCACCGTACAAAAAAATCAAACCAAATTAAACAACCAACACCAAAGATGATGGCATAAGGTTTGAGTAGGAACTTGGGAAGCTCTGCCTCACTCAGGCTGTCTTGCCTGAGCCCAGAAAATGGCAAAATGAAGGAGAAGCACCAGCTGGAGGTAGGCCTAGGCACAGGACTGTATGTCAGCACTGCTAAGGGTTGACTCATACCATGCTGGCATCCGATTTCATTCCAAAGGAAGGAGGGATTTCAGTCTTAGGAGTGGCCGGGATCCCAGCATCTGCCTGGATGAATCCTCTTCTGTCTATTAAACTATGTGGGAGAGAGAGAGAGAAAGAAGGCAAACAAAAAGTCATGTTAAAGCAAATAATAAATAACAAAACTTTATTTATATACCGCCCTATCTCCCCTAGGGGGCTCGGAGCGGTTTCCACATACACAAAATGATACAAAAACGTACAATATAAAACAAAAACATAGACATAAACTGTTAACACAACATCTATCTATCTGTCTATCTATCTATCTATAAAAATGCTCTGTGCATAATGAGTTCCTTAAAAACAAAAGAACCAATGAACGAAATCACACCAAATTTGGCAACAAAACGTCTCACAACACAAGGAGTGACCATCACTCAAAAAATTATGATTTTGTCATTTGAGAATTGTAGAACATGGCCATATAGCCTCGAAAAACCTACAACAACCCAATGATTTTGGCCATGAAAACCTTCGACAATACATTGGGTTGTTGTGTGTTTTCCGGGCTGTGGCCATGTTCCAGAAGCATTGATGCAGGTGAAACGTCAGGAGAGAATGCTTCTGGAACATGGCCATACAGCCTGGAAAACACACAACAACCTCAAGTGTCTGTTTGTGTAGGATTTTACAAATAACTACAACAATGGGATCACGATCAGGCTAACTCCTCCGGCTCCCTTAGAGACAGAAGTCCCTCATGTAAACCAAAAATAATTCAAATATCTGTTTAAGTATGTGTTTACAGCTACTTTTACATGACATCTAAATTGGTAAAAATCCCATTAAATAATTATTCTCCATTAGAGCATCAGAGAGATAGCTGAGGGAGACATAAGCTGAGGAAATGAGAAAAATAAAGATAGGAAATATAGCAAGAATGTTATCTGGTAAAAATTATATTACTTGAGGGGGATACCGCTTGAACTATTCCTCACATCATGGATGGGAAGACATGGCCTTTTAAATGTGGTGGACTACAGAACCATTCACCATCAGCTGTACTGGTGGGACACATGGGAACTGGAGTCCAGGAATGTTGAATGGCCACAGCTCCCTGCACTGCCTTCACTCAGATCACATGTGTGAATAATGGAAACTCAAGAAAACACTCCCTGTTTAGTGCTAGGCTTGCACCATATTGTAGTGTAACACATAAAGGTAAAGCTTTTCCCTTGACATTACATCTAGTTGTGTCCAACTCTGGAGGGTGGTGCTCATCTTCATTTCTTAGCTGAAGAGCTGGCGTTGTCCGTAGACACCTCCTAGGTCATGTGACTGGCATAACTGCATGGAGCACCATTACTTTTCTGCACCTATTAATCTACTCACATTTGCATGTTTTTTAACTGCTCGGTTTGCAGAAGCTGGGGCTAAAAACAGGAGCTCACCCCACCCACAGATTTGAATTGCCGACCTTCTGATCAGCAAGTTCTGCAGCTCAGCGGTTTAACCCACTGTGCCACCGCAGCCCCTTATAGTGTAACACAGACTTCGGTCTGTATTAAATCTGCGCCTTCATCTCAGTGTTGCTAAGAGAAAAGCACACACAATATTATTATCAAGAGAAACATGATCTTACGGTAATTTATTTGGCATTCCTTGAACTTGTTGAGTGTGACTGTACATCTGGGAAAATATGGCTCAGATGGATTCTTATGCATCTTTAAATGAAAAAATTATAACACACCACAGCCAAATGTTGCTTCCTATAAGTTTTGATGATTAACTATGACAACATTTTCTTCCCACATGTATTCATGAACCCATTCAAATGAACATCTCCTCTGTGCTAATGTGAGACTCACTCTTCATTTTATCCAATTGTGCCCTCTTGTGACTAAATGGAGACAGGTAAAATGGATATCATAACAGTAAATAAAGAACAACACTCAAAAACATGGGGATTCCAGACAAGAAACAATCAGGGCCAGCTAATCACCTCCCAACAAATGATTCCCCCAGGCAGCAAGAAGCCAGACCTTGAAAACTGCTAGGCCAATAAATGCTAATCAAGGTGGCCAACTGCAACATTCACACCTACCTCCAACAGACAAAGAGTTCCTTCCACCACCCTGGACCTTCCACAGATATATAAATCCCACTTGCCTAGTTTCCAACAGACCTAACAACCTCTGAAGATGCCTGCCATAGATGCAGGTGAAACATCAGGAGAGAATGCTTCTGGAATATGGCCATACAGCCCGGAAAATACACAACAACCCAGTGATTCCGGCCATGAAAGCCTTTGACAATACAAAGCACCAGGTAGTTTAAATCTGTTCCTAGACATGAAAGTTAAGAGCTACATGCAAGACATTGTGGAATTTCCACTAGAGAACAAATGCAAAGATATGTAACAAGGAGACTGGGGAGATAGGTCAATCCTCTAAAAGATCTGATCTATTCCATGCCCTGTTTCCATTCTAGCTGGTCATTCCCATCTAGTTTTGAATGACTGGTGCCTGATGCCAGAATTCCAGTATGAGCTCCAATTGTGCTGAATAATGTACAGAAAAAAGTATCAAGGTGCTTCGTTGCTCAATTCCCAACTAGCCACACAATGTTCCTTTATCGTGTTGGGAGTGGACACCTTCCCCTTAGCAACCAATCAGTGGCAGAGGGCTCCCAGCCACCATTGAGCCACCCTTGCACAGCTAAGAAACAGTGATGGTCTTAGTTCCCAAAGATCCAATGCAGTTTTCAGCGATCCAGCGAGGTAGATGCAGGCTGATGCAGATCTGAATCTCCCTACATCCCTGGCCACTGGCTGCAGGGAAGCGTTGTGCCAATTTCAAGCTCTCTGGCTCAAGTGGTCCAAAAGAAGCCTTGTGTTTATGTGGTTCTGGGAAAGGTATATCCCTTTATCATTCCAACAGGATGCTTTTATCACTGTGCTCTACTTAAAGCAATGGTATTCCCCGTAATCACCTACGGATGTGAGAGCTGGACCATAAGGAAGACTGAGCGAAGGAAGATAGCTGCTTTTGAATTGTGTTGTTGGAGGAAAGTTCTGAGAGTGCCTTGGACCGGGAGAAGACCCAACCAGTCCATATTTCAGGAAATAAAGCCTGACTGCTCATTGGAGGGAAGGATATTAGAGACAAAGATGAAGTACTTTGGCCACATCATGAGAAGACAGGAAAGCTTACAGAAGACAATGATGCTGGGGAAAATGGAAGGAAAAGGGAAGAGGGGTCGACCAAGGACAAGATGCATGGATGGTATTCTGGCTTGACCTTGAAGGAGCTGGGGTGGGGACAGCCGACAGGGAGCTCTGGTGTGGGCTGGTCCATGAAGTCACCAAGAGTCGGAAGTGACTGAACGAATAAACAAGAAACCACTGTGTTCTCCTGCCTTTCTGTGATATAGTCATGTAGACAAAAGTTAGGGGACCCGTTTGGGCTCCCCTAACTCAGGGCTTCTTAAACCTTTGCAACTTGTGATCTCTTTTGGTCCAAGAAAGTTTTATGTGACCTCAAGTATATAAAATACAGGCAGTTACAAACAGGACCTCACAACCTGTGAGGATGCCTGCTATAGATGCAGGCAAATGCTTCTAGAACATGGCCATACAGCCCGAAAAACCTACAACAACCCATACAAACAGGATAGGTTCTGTAGGTTTGTTCTTAAGTTGAATTTTCATGTAAGTCGGAACAGGTACATTTTTAAAGTGTAACTCGAGCAATACACACACACGCACACACAAATGTTGTGGTGAGCTGAACCATAAAATTATTTTTGTTGCTACTTCATAACTATAATTTGGCTACTGTTATGAATCGTAATGTAAATATCTGATATGCTGGATATATTTTCATTCTCTACACCAAATTTGGCACAAATACTCGATACGCCCAAATTTGAATACTGCTGGGGTTGGGGGATTGATTTTGTCATTTGGTAGTTGCTGGGATTTATAGTTCACCTACAATCAAAGGGCATTCTGAACTCCACCAACGATAGAATTGAACCAAACTTGGCACACAGAACTTCCATGACCAACGGAAAATATTGGAAGGGTTTGGTGGGCATTGACCTTGAGTTTGGGAGTTGTAGTTCACCTCCATCCAGAAAGCACTGTGGACTCAAACAATTATGGATCTGGATCAAACTTGGCACGAATCCTCAATATGCCCAAATGTGAACACTGGTGTGTTTGAGGAAAATAGACCTTGACATTTGGGAGTTGTAGTTGCTGGGATTTATTGTTCACATACAATCCGAAACCCACCGCAGATAGAATTGGGCCAAACTTCCCACACAGAACCCCCATGCCTTGAAGGGACTCGCTCACATGCTCTCCCTCGCCCGCACATGCGCACTACGCTGCCATGTGCCTAACATGCCTGCTCTCCCCTCCGTGCTTGGAGTCTCAGAAACAGTCCTTCGCTTGGCTGAGAGGCCAACTGGGAAGCCAGCCAATCTCAGCAGGAGGAGGGCTTTTGGTGGGAGGAATTGCTGTCTGTTTCCGAAAAGGAAGAGAAGGACAGGTGGAGAGATCTTCAGCCTTCTCTGCCAAACAGGTTTCTAAGACCATCAGAAATATATATTTTCTGATGCACTTTGGCAACCCCTCTGAAACCTCTTCGCTACCAGCCCCCACCCCCGGGGTCCTGACCCCCAGGTTGAGAAACGCTGATCTATGTGGATGACTGCCTCTGCTGGGTGCCTTTCTTTCCTTTTAGCAACTTGGGCTCAGCTTTTAGCTCTTTTTTTATCTGTCCATCCTTGCTCTTCCGAGGGGGGGGGGGGAGCCTTTCACAACCCCAACATGGAGCTAAATGGAGCTAAGGGAACCCCGTTTGAGGTCATAACCCAAAATTTACCAGGCCCTGCTGTAACTAAATGAAAATGTGTGTAGTTTGCCACCTAGTGGCTATTTGAGGCATTTACATGAACCCAGGCATTAAAAAGGGGAGCCAACAGAATGTATTCTGCCACTTGAGGCTACAAAGCAGGCATACCAGCATGGCATGAAAAATGATGAAGATGCTCTGTCCCGCAATATCAGATATTCAGCTATGGTTTAATTCTTTATGTAAAAATCAACAAACACATCAGTCTCATTTGCTTTCAACTTTAATAAATGGTAAAAATGCAATTATTTATTATCAGTAAATGTTTGATTTGTATAATTATTTTATATACCAATATATCCAGAGTCGTGTAAATAATTTCTCAGGCCAAAAGGGGAAACATTTAAGATGTACTGACTTAGGGTAGGAGCCAATCAAGCAAGGAGTTGTCTTTTTTTTTTTAATGGTCATAAATAAGCACTTTCAGAGACCTTGATCAGATGAAGTGAACAAAACCTTCTGCCATGTCCAGATGCCAGCATCTGTTATCTTTTCAAGGCTGACTTGTACTAAGTTCAATGAGATGGTGACCTCAAAACACAATCAGTGTACATTATTAAAGGGGCAGCCAATTACATTTTAGTAGGTTTAAGGATCATGTGATTAACTGCTAATGTATGTTTTTAAACTGTTTAAATGTATTTTATAACTCTATTTATATATCTGTAATTGTACATATCCTATGGCTTCATGTGGTTGCCTACTTGTAAGCCGCCTTGAGTCCCCTCTGGGGTGTAGATGCCATAAATAAATAAATAAACAAACAAACAAATAGTGGCAAGATAATTGGACTGGGATCAGACCTGAGCCGGTATCACACTAGAGCTGAAAGACTACGCAAATAATATACTTTATTTATATTCCGCTCTATCTCCGAGGGGACTCAGGGCGGATAACAGTACACATATACGGCAAACATTAAATGCCGTTATACAATTAACGAAGACAAAAAATACATAAACAGAGGTAAAGACTTCCCATCTTTTTCCATCTCTGGCATTTGTGCTTGAACTCGGCCACAGGAGGGATGCTGTCTCTCCATCTTCCATGCCAAGGAGCTTTGTTGTCTTTAGATGCTCTCTCGATCGAATCGCTAGCATGTCCTCATAGGCGCCTTTTATAACCTCCCTGTCAAAGTGCTACCTATTTATATACTCACATTGCTGTTTTGGAACTGCTGGATGAGCAGAAGCTGTGTTGATGGTACGGAGCTCACCTCAACCCGGGCTTGAACTGTCAACCTTTCTATCGGCAAGATTTTCTGCAGCTGGGGGTTTAACCCGCTGTGCTAAAGCCCAGCAAGGAGTATGCATCCCATCTGAAATCCTGTGGCTTCCTCCTGCAGAATTTTGGGGCTTGTAGTTTAGGGGATGAGCCTTTAAAATGCTCAGCAAGAGAGGTCACTAAACTACAAGCCCCAGAATTCTGCAGGAGGCAACCACAGGATTTCAGATGGGATATATACTCTTTCAGTTCTAATGTGATAAGACACCCGAGCTGTGCCTCTTTCAGCACTTCCTGTCTGCTTTTCCCTTTCTCCATTAATTTAGCAAACTTCCCTCTTCCACTGTCATTTTTTACAGGAACCATCTTCTCTAGTTCAGCTTCCAAGCCCAGATTTTCTGTCCCTCAGAATGGTGGGTCACCTGCTTTTTCCTGATATGGTGACTATTTCTTTGGGTTCCCAAGTGAGCAGTGCTCTACAGTAGGAGAAGGAAGTAATGATGGGAAATAAAGGACTGTTGCTCTCAGCCCCCATCTTTTCTGACTCCCGCAAATTGCTATCGCACCACATCTCAGGGGATTTCCCAACAGAAGAGCTAGTATTCAATCCCCCCCACCCCCCACCCATGAACATCATATTCAAGGTTATCGACTGTATATTCAGGAAAGAGCATCCTTACCTGGGATAGAAGGGTCCACAAAGCACTGCACAGCAGTTGGTGAGGACACTTTTATGGCTGTAGGGATTGGCAAATTCAGAACCTCTCTTACTTGACCATGCCCCTTTGAGCTAAAAAAACAAACACAACTGGTTTAAACAAGGGAAAGAAAGGCCAGCGAGCATCCTGTTGGGCCAACCAAGATTTTAAAGGATGCTCCCCCACTTTCCAAAATAATAATAAATAATAATAAACTTTATTTATATCCCGCCACCATCTCCCAGAGGGACTCGAGGCGGCTTACAAAGCACTCAAAGGTCCAAACACATAAAATACAAAAATTGCAGAAACAATAACATAAGACAATAACAGCCAACATAAATATCTCACTTCACCAAACCACGTGGTTAAAATCAGTAACCCCCTGATTAAAATCCCCTGGTTAAAATCAGTAATTACTGCAGGTATAAAACAACAATAAGCAATCTTGAATGTGTCTGATTATATGGATAAGGCAGGCATGGGTAAACTTCGGCTCTCTGGGTGCTTTGGACTTCAACTCCCACAATTCCTAACAGCCTACCGGCTATTAGGAGTTGTGGGAGTTGAAGTCCAAAACACCCGGAGGACAAAAGTTTGTCCATGCCTGGGATAAGACCTCTTACCCAGCTACTAGCTTTTTTCCTCCTGAGCCCTACTATTTTGCATATTCGTCTCTCTACTGTAAATTACTTGTGGGTGTTTTTGACTAGATAAGCAAATAAAAACTTCAACTGTAAAATTGATTTAAGAAAATCACGCCTTTAGAAATGCACTGACTGTTTTGCACTTGTAAAATCAAGATCGGTCGAGAACCAAAGTCTTAAAATGTAGTAAAAGAACTAGTGAAAATAATCAGATTAACGACTCCAAAAATTAAAAAGCTGCCCTGATTTATTTATTTTATTTACTTATTTACATTATTTCTATCCCGTTCATATCAGCCCGAAGGCGACTCAGGGAGATATACACAGTCGGCACAATTCGATGCCATAAAAATACATACATTAATAAAGCAACAACATTAAAGTGCATTTAACATAAAGACAGTGCATAATAACAATTTAAAAAGAACTATGTCCTCTCGTTCAATCCTCATCCGTTCCATTGTCTTGGTCATTCCTGGGTCATTTTCCAGCTCTAGTTTGTCTATTTATTCCAGGGTTCCGAATGCTTGCTCGAAGAGCCAAGTTTTTACTCTTTTTCGGAAAGTCAGGAGGGAGGGGGCTGATTCATTAGGTAGCCATTTTAAAAATAAGATAGTATATGTTAGTAGGAAGAATTTATGAGAATCTTGGATGACAAGGGCCATATTAAAAGAACAATTCTCCCTTTTTCTGCCACAGAAAAGAATGACTCCTAAGATGTGAGCCTCACCTAAATAACAAAAAAAACTCTTTGAACTATTCTTTTAATATATGAAATTATTAAGGTTTAAGAGTTTGAATGTGATACAAGAAACTGACTTTTACAACTTAAACTTGCCTTGCGTACGACTGAACTCCAGGGGACTTACTTCTAAGTAGAAATGCACAATAATCCATTGTAACACTCCTTTAACTAGGTGACTGCCCTATGTAAATACACATTGACTAAAATAACCAATGTGTATGTGTAAAGGTGTGTGTGTGTGTGTGTATGAGAGATAGAGGGTACACCTACACTGTAACATTAATGCAGTTTGACAGCACTTTAACTGTCATGGTGCAATGATATGAAAAGCTTGTGCGCTAGCTGCGCCTGTACCTTGGGAAGTCTGACTTGGCCACACTTTGGTTACATCCTGTATAGGCTACTGCAACGCGCTCTACGTGGGGTTGCCTTTGAAGATGGTCCGGAAGCTTCAATTAGTCCAACAAACGGCAGCCAGGTTGCTAACAGGAGCGGCTCTCAGGGAGCATACAACTCCCCTGTTGCACCAGCTCCACTGGCTGCCAGTTTGCTACCGGGCCCAATTCAAAGTGCTGGCTTTGGCCTATAAAGCCCTAAATGGTTCTGGTCCAACTTACATGTCTGAAAGCACCTCCTCTTACGAACCATTGAGGACTTTAAGATCGTCTGGGGAAGCCCTGCTCTCGGTCCCTCCTTCATCACAAGTACGTTTGGCGGGGACGAGAGACAGGGCCCTCTCAGCGGTGGCCCCTCGACTATGGAACGCCCTCCCTAGGAAGATCAGATCAGCTTCTTTGCTCCTAAAATTTTGGAAAAACTCAAGACATGGCTTTTCGAGCAAGCATTTGCTAACATTGAGTAATGGACATAGGAAACGGAACAACTAAATGATGGGACTGGACAATGTTTTAATGAGAATTTATTGACTTATGTTTTATTGCTGTTGTTGTGATTTTATTGATGTTAATGTTTTTAAATTGTACTTGTGTTTTTGTGGCATTGAATTTTGCCTTGTAAATCGCCTCAAGTCGCCGGAAGGCTGAGAGGGGCGGTATACAAATACAGTAAATAAATAAATAAATAAATCCTTGAATTTGAAGTTCTATAAAGGTCTTTAGCCTTCTTTAAATCCCAGGAACCATAGCACTGGGACACTGCAGTTAAAGTAGTGTCAAACTGCATAATTCTAGAGCAGGCATGGGCCAACTTGGGCCCTGCAGGTGTTTTGAATTTCAACTCCCACAATTCCTAACAGCCTCAGGCCCCTTCCTTTTCCCCTTCAGCCGCTTAAGCGCAGGGCCCAAGTTTGCCCATGCCTGTTCTAGAATGCTGAGCCACCCAAAGGGAAAAAGCATCAATGTCTTTCAGTTACAGGCGCAACATGTTTATTAACCTAGGAGAGCTAACTCAAACCAGTGCCATTAAATGTCTTGGGCTATAATGACTTCCTGAAAATTAGGAAGAACTTCCTGACCATAAGAGAAGGTCAACAATGGAACTCTCTGCCTCGGAGTGTGGAGGCTCCTTCCTTGATGGTTTTAAACAGAGTCTGGATGGCCATCTGTTGGGGCTGCTTTAATTGTGCTTTTCTTGCATGCCAGAGTGGGGTTTGACTTGATGGCCCTGTGGTCTCTTCCAAGTCTATGATTCTATGACTTCCACCTCAATCTGCTCAACATTCTTACACGTGCCACCCATCCCCTTTGTTTAATTCACTGAATTCTAAAAATATTTATTCATATACAACACAGAAGAGCGTTTAAAGTGCTAATTTTGCTCGATTGTGGAGTTAAGCCTAAAGGCCTGCCAATTTTCTATTGAAAGAAGATGCAAATATCTATACTTACATCCTCGTTGGTTGTCAAGTTGGAGGCAACTAAATAAGTGTGAAACCCTGAGAGACCAAAGATAGACCAGACGGAGAAAAAACAGATTACGAGCTCCAACACAGTGAGCAGAGAATCAAGGAAAAAACAACATGTGGAGTTAGGGAGAACTTGACTCTGTTGTGGTTATCAGAATCCTCATTCAAATACATCTGACAGAGTCATCATCATCCTGTATTTCATCAATTCTAAGACGCCACCGATTGTAAGACACACCCTGTGAATCTCCCCGCAAAATAGCAAATTTGTCATGAAGCCTCAGTAAACTGGCGGAACTGAGCTGTTTGAGCCAATGAGAATTGAGTGGCATCAGGAAAGATTAGACAATATTACCCAAATTGATCTTAACCCTTATGCAAAAGCCCGTGTCTGAAAGAAGAGCTCATAAAGCAAGATCATGTCCTGAAAGCAGAGGCCCAGATATTGTTGGACTGCGACTCAGGCACTGCAGCCAATGACAAAGTATCATGGGAAATTCAGTCCAGCAACACTTTGCATACTAAAGGTAAAGGTTTTCCCATGACATTAAGTCCAGTCGTGTCCGACACTGTCCATAAACACCTCCAACATCATGTGGCTAGAATGACTCCATAGAGTGCCATTACCTTCCCGATGGAGTGGTACCTATTGATCTACTCACATTTGCTACTCAGCTTTTGCCAACTGCTAGGTTGGCAAAAGCTGGGGCTAACAGTAGGTGCTCACGTCGCTCACTGGATTTGAACCGCCGACCTTTCGGTCACAAAGTTCAGCAGCTCAGTGGTTTGTGCCACTGGAGGCTCCACTTCGCATGCTTATTCTATCCATGGATTCAACTATTCCTTGCTTTTGGTATTTCGAAAGTACTTCCAAGTCATCCATTCTAAACTGGCTTTTTTTCAGTGTCATAAAAAGTATGGAGGGAGGAGTTGCTAACACAGGAATGGGCAAACCCAGGCTCGTGAGCCAGACGCAGCCCTTTGGGCTGTTCGTCCCAGCCTTTGTCTGCTTTGGCCTCCCCTTCAGTATGCGGACGCAGTGGCCTGCCGCATCTCCAGACTGTGAGGAAGGCTGAGGCAGACACACTTCTGCCAAGTGTTCTCTCGAGAGTCCTCGGCAGCAGTGTGCTTCTCTCTCTCCTGTGGGCCTGAGGAAGGCAGGCCACCACTGCCTTTCTGGGGTCTGCAGAACAGCCAGAGAGAGAAACACGCTGCTGCCAAACACACCACTTTCTCTGGGCCCGAGGAAGCCGGGCCACTGCCTTCCTGGTGCCCAAAAGAGCCGGGAGAGAAACACGCCGCTACCAAGCATGCTTGACAGTGGCATGTTTCTCTCCCTGCTCTGGGCCTGAGGAAGGCAGGTCACTGCCTTCCTGGGGCCCAGAACAGCCAGGGAGAGAAACAGGCATGTTTGTTTCCCTGGAGATAGATCCACCCCTTTCCTCTCCTGGCCCCAGCCCCGCTCTTCTGCCCCACCTGCCCCTGCCCCTTCCAGCCCACACCCCCACCCCTTCTGGACCTACCCACACTCCCTCCCAGCCCAGCCCTTGCAACCGGGTCCATAAGGCAGCCCCAGGACAAAAAAGTTTGCCCATGCCTGGGATAACAGGTACTGAAAGGATATCTTGCTGGCGTTGCTTTCAGAACACTGATGAAATCATTTCCCTGGGAACCTGCAAAGCCCAAAAACAGCAATGTCAAGTTAAAAGAAGCCATTTGCTACGTCAAGTCCGCTAACCATACAGCGAGAGTCAGATAAATGCTCAGAAGGTCTCATGATGCCAATCAAATCACTTATGAAGAATGTCACAAAGGCCAGGTTTGACCTATAGTGGATAAATGTATCCAAGTGTTTTGCATAAGTGACATTTTTTAGTAACACTGTTAAGTCAATGGTTCTCAGTGTTATTATGTATTTATTTATTTCTATCCTGCATTTCTCCCAGCTCAGGACTTAAAGCAAAAACATACAATAAAAGTAGACCAGCACCAGCACCATAAGAAAACATAGTCATATCTAATAAAAAATTATAAAAACTGACTTTGGTTGAGATGTTTTGGACTTCAACCTCTCAGAACCTCCAGTCAAAATGGTCAAGGAAGCTGAAGCTTTAAAAAAACGCTGAACAGGATTAAGCAGGTATCCAGGTCTAAGAAGATCTCAGAGATCTTCTTCTGCAGAAAGAATGGTAACCTATGGATTCTAAAGGCACACCGGTTTTAAAGTGAAGATCTTCTGGTTCATGCTATACTTACGGAGGGCGAGATGGGTGATGACACATGCAAAGATGAAGGCTGTCAAGAAGGAGAGGGAAAGGATGAAGGCATAGAAGAACCGATAGTTCCTCTTACCCACACAGTTGCCTACCCAGGGACAGTGATGATCGAACCGTTCTGGAAAGGTAAAAGAAGGCAGTAAGATGACAGCCTTAAGAGAACATACATTGTAAACAACCAAAGAGGATGCTCAGCCAAAGCATTTAAGCAGACGCCAGTCACAGAACAAGACAATTTTTCTGCTAATACACAGACAGTGATAGGAGAGGCTTATTTCTATTTTTAAATAAGAACTGCAGCCACATTAAGTTCCTTGCTCTGAAAGCAATGAATGCTTTTAGCCTTCCTGCTGACTGCATCATACTGGCTATAACTGAGATGTAGGCTTATCGTTGTGAGATTCAATAAATACTTTGGCTGGGATTAGACAATTCCCCTTTGAGAGCCATTTTTTAATACATTGTAGTATGAGAAGCAAAGATAAGTGGAATACGGAGGAAAGCAGGCTCCACATTCAATCAATTGTTTCTTTTTTATTAAGAATCTTAAAATGGCTGATAAGTTGGCTAAAAAACCAATTAAAATATATACATCAACATTTTTAAAATATCATGAAACATACAAATGTAGAGCTAAAAACTTGGCAGAATTAAGCATCTAAATTAAATTGTCTTTTCTTGTTATCAAAATGAGATCACCTTAGAAATAAAGTGGGGTGCCCTCTCCTCCTTGAATGTTTGCTAAATTCCATCCAGCAGAAGCACATGGAAAAGGACACAAGGCACACATAGAGATATGAGGGACGTTCATTAAAGATTTCCGCTGACCCATTTCTATTTATCACAGGATGCTGAAACTGCACATGTGTAATGATATAAGTCTCTACAGGTTACGTGCCATTTTACAACTCTTGTGTTTACCAGTGCTGAAGCGGTGTGAGGTTTGATAATGTACCCAGTGGAATACAGAGCAGTCCTCACGTTTCTTTACTTGAAAGGTCGCACACCAAAGGAAACGTTTGATGAGTTGAAAGAGGTTTATGGTGATGATTCCCCATCATATGATGTAGACAAGAACTAGCATCGTCAAGTCAAATCTGGTCAGATTCCGATAGGAACAGCTCCGATTCTAGCGTGACCCCACTCTGCTATTGATGGACACACCATCCAGCAAGTCAAGGTCACCATTTTGGAAAATCACTGCATAGTCATTCACCACCTAGCCCAAAATGTCAATATTAGTGTGGGGTCCATGGAAAAAACCATCCAAGACCATCTTCACATGTATAAGATATCCACACGCTGGGTCCTCCGCCTGCTCACACCTTTCCAGAAGCAGGAACGAGTCGAATACTTTCAGGCTCTATTGACAATGATTGCCATGGAAACCAGGAAGACTTTTTCAACAGACCGATCACACAGGATGAAAGCTGGGTCCATCACTATCATCCTGAGACTAAAGTCCAGTCGATGCAAGGGAAGCATCATGCCTCACCGCCTCCAAAGAAGGCACATGCCCAACTCTCGGCAGGCAAGGTCATATTTTGGGACCAGTATGGAATTATTTATTTATCGTCGAAGGCTTTCATGACCGGAATCACTGGGCGGTTGTAGGTTTTTCCAGGTTATATGGCCATGTTCTAGAGGCATTTTCTCCTGACGTTTCGCCTGCATCTATGGCAAGCATCCTCAGAGGTAGTGAGGTATTTATTTATCGTGTCAGGCAACCAGAAAATTGTATTACATTTCTAACAGAACAAAACAAACAAACAGACAACATACAAAATTTGCAAGCTTGGTAGTTGATTAAATGTCCTTTGACCGGTATCTGGCCACTTGGGATGCCTCTGGTGTTGCCGCAAGGAGGTCCTCCATTGTGCATGTAGCAGGGCTCAGGTTGCATTGCAGCAGATGGTCTGTAGTTTGCTCTTCTCCACACTCGCATGTCGTGGATTCCACTTTGTAGCCCCATTTCTTAAGGTTGGCTTTGCATCTCGTGGTGCCAGAGCTCAGTCTGTTCAGCGCCTTCCAAGTTGCCCAGTTTTCTGTGTGCCCAGGGGGGAGTCTCTCATTTGGTATCAGCCATTGGTTGAGGTTCTGGATTTGAGCCTGCCACTTTTGGACTCTCACTTGCTGAGGTGTTCCAGCGAGTGTCTCTGTAGATCTTAGAAAACTATTTCTTGATTTAAGTTGTTGACATGCTGGCTGATACCCAAACAAGGGATGAGCTGGAGATGTCACTGCCTTGGTCCTTTCACTATTGGCGGCTACTACCCGGCGGATGTCAGGTGGTGCAATACAGGCTAAACAGTTTAATTTCTCCAGTGGTGTAGGGCGCAGACACCCCGTGATAATGCGGCATGTCTAATTAAGAGCCACATCTACTGTTTTAGCGTGGTGAGATGTCTTCCACACTGGACATGCATACTCGGCAGCAAAGTAGCATAGCGCAAGGGCAGATGTCTTCACTGTATCTGGTTGTGATCCCCAGGTTGTGCCAGTCAGCTTTCGTATGATATTGTTTCTAGCACCCACTTTTTGCTTGCTATTCAGGCAGTGTTTCTTGTAGATCAGAGCACGGTCCAGGGTGACTCCCAGGTATTTGGGTGTGCTGCAATACTCCAGTGGGATTCCTTCCCAAGTAATCCTCAGAGCTCGGGATGCTTGTCTGTTCTTAAGGTGAAAGGCACATGTCTGTGTTTTAGATGGATTAGGGATCAGCTGGTTTTCCCTATAGTAGGCGGTAAGAGCACCTAGAGCTTCGGAGAGCTTCTGTTCTACCATCTCAAAGCTCCCTGCTTGAGCAGTAATGGCACGATCACCACCATAGATGAAACATTCTGTCCCTTCTGGCAGTGGCTGGTCATTTGTGTAGATGTTGAACATGGATGGAGCAAGCATGCTCCCCTGAGGGAGGCCGTTCTTCTGTTTCCGCCATCTAGTTCTCTGGCCCTGGAACTCAATAAAAAAGCTCCTGTTTTGTAGCAGGTTTCCTATGAGGCGGGTGAGGTGGTAATCCTTTGCGATATAATACATTTTTCTCAGGAGGAGGGGGTGGTTTACAGTATCATAAGCCACTGACAGGTCTATGAAGACAGCTCCTGTGATCTGCAGCCTTTCAAAGCCATCTTCTATGTCCTGAGTCAGGGTCAGCACTTGCGAATGTACAGCTTTACATGACATGGGGGACATGAGAGAAGCCTCCTCGCAGGATTGCAAGACATCCGGGCGTCCCCTGGGCAACGTCTTCGTAGACGGCTGATTCTCACTCCAGAAGCGACTAGAAGCAACTTGCAGTATGCAAGCAAGCATGGAGTAGTATTGATAGATTTCCTACCATGATCACTAGGGCATACTATGCTTCACTGCTGTGGAAATTGCAGGAGGCCATCAAAACCAAGAGACAATGTGGCATGCTTACCAAAGGTGCCTGCCTTCTGCAAGACAAGGCACCCGTTCACAACTCACCTGTTGCCCAAATGGAAGAAGCATGCTCCTGTGGCTTTGAAATTCTACCACATCCCCCTTATTCACCCAACCTCGCACCAGACTTCCACCTCTTTCCAACAATGAAGTTGTTTTTGAAGCACAAGTATTTTTCAGATGATGACACTGATTTCCAAAGTCACAACGTGGCTTTTGGAGCAACCTGTTGACTTCTACAAGCGAGGTGTTTACAGTAGCTTAAAAAGATGGGAGAAGTGTATGTCCCTAGGTGGCACCGATGGAGACTCGTAGCTGTGCCAAGTTTCATGGCTCTCAGTCCACAGGAAGTGGGTCAGGGAAAATCTTTAATGAACGCCCCTCACAGAGTCACACAGATGCAGATCATCTCTCGTTATTCAAAGATCATAATTGCTAAACCCAACCAGGAAAGAAGCAGTATGCTACCTGAAGCCAAAGAACCAGGCTTCTGATAAATCCAGAAAGATTATTCAGCAGCTGAAACTACAACCATGATTATCTGTAGGACGTCTCACTAAACTTACCTACACAATTGTCACAAACACTGCAGTGCGAAGTCCTAGGAGGACGGAACATTTTGCATGTATAGCAGTATTTCAACTTCACCATGTATTTATTTATCACAACTTCCATGGTACGGGCAGGTGGCCGATAAGTGGAGGTGCCCAGATTGTCTGCAAAGAAACAATATAGTCAAATAGTAGAATCGGTCCAAATACAATTAAAGGGCAAGAGGGATTCTGGCATCTTCTTGGTGAGTCCCTTGGAAACAGGATCCATAAAGGCATTGCCCACATCACACATTTTTGAAATTACAATTGGGACACCTAGAATATGTCAGAAAGATTAAAAATTAACTAGGTAGGTAAAGGTAACGGTTTTCCCCTGACATGGATAGCGACAACTGGAAGGAAAGTTAGGACATATGCGACACTGGATTTACCCGACTTGGTCTTGGTTTTAACTGGCATCTTAATTTATTGTTTAACGAACTTGGTAATGTATAATGTGTTCTAATGATTTTTACTGTTTTAATTGTAACCCTTGTTGTTTATATGATGACAGCATCACATGTCCGACTCTGGGGGTTGGTGCTCATCTCCATTTCTAAGCCAAAGAGCAGCATTGTCCATAGACACTTCCAAGGTCATGTGGTTGGCATGACTGCATGGAGCACTGTTACCTTCCTGCCAGAGTGGTACCTATTGATGTACTCACATTTGAATGTTTTCTAATTCCTAGGTTGGCAGAAGCTGTGCCTAACTGCAGGAGCTCACCCCACTCCCCGGATTCAAACTGCCAGCCTTTCAGTCACCAAGTTCAGCAGCTCAGTGCTTTAACCCACTATGCCACCGGGGGCAAAACAAAATGAACTAGGTATTTTTAATTATGAAAATGTGAGTCAAACCCTGAAAGGATTACATGTATGCAATGACTCAGCAAAAGCTGCAATCCTATATAAGAAGGTGTGCCTGTAGCTTAGTAGCAGTCAGTCTGAGGTAAACCTCAGTGGGAGAAAGGTCTTGATCTGAGAGAAGGCCTCACAGTGTGAGGTAGGCCTTATTCTATGAGAAGTCCTCATGTGAGGAAGGCTTAGTGTGAGAAGGTTCAGTGAGAGAAGCCCTATGTTAAAAGCTACTATGTGAAACTCCTGTGTAATTTCAGTGTGAGAGGAGGCTCTGTGAGAGCGAAGCTGTTTATTTGTATAAGAAAGAAGCCCAGCGTGGAAGCAACGAAGGAAGTATAAAGAACTTTATTTGTTTTATAGAAACCTTGTTGTTGTAAATAGTGCAACCATATTATTTTACTACAAAGAAAAGCCTCCCATGGAAGAGATAACATTGGTTTGTGTGTTTTTGTTCATTTTATCACTTTGGGCTACTGGTTCTGTGTCACGCTGCTGCTGCTAAGTTACTCTACTGATAAATTACCTTTATGGGGAGGGTCTTTTGTTAATAAGCCCACTCACCCAACAGAATACACCATGCCACAAGCAAAAAACAGAATCCATTTTTGTAGTTGCTTCTTTTAATGGCTAATCTATAAAATATTATCCCTCTTGTCTGATGGGTATTAGTTATACTGAATTGGAGTACAACTGGAACAGTTTCAAACAATCTATCTGCATCCAGAACATTCACCTGTATTTAAGAGAAAGACTTTTTGCGTAAAGATTTTTAAGTAGCTTAGAGGGGTGGTGTGGGAATGAGTGCGTGCATCAATTGCCCTTGAAACACAAAGGACAGCTTCCACATTCCGACCTCTCTTCATTCCTTTGCTGATGCCATGTCTTTATCTCTTCAAAAAGATAAACAGGCAGCCTGTGCGTGATGTCTCTAGAGCCTAGACCATGCTGTGTCCAGCCGGTATGCCCTGTGGCGCTGTCAACCTGGCTGCAGCATTCAGCAGCGCATGCTTCGTGCTGCATGAAATCATTTTTAGTGGTTTGAATGTGTTTGGAAATTCAGGGGTTGGGATTAATAAATCAGAGATGATTGGCCAAAACTAACAAAATGAATTTCAACAGAGACAAATGCAAGATACTCCTCTTAGGCAGAAAAAAGGAAATGCAAAGATACAAAATGGAGATAATGCCTGGCTTGATGGCAGGCCATGTGAAAAAGATCTTGGAGTCCTCATGGGGAGGAAGGTGAACATGAGGCAACAATGTCATGCAGCAGCAAGAAAGCCAATGGGATTTTGGCCTGCATAAAAAGGAGTCTACTAGTGCCTAGATCCAGAGAAGTCATGCTCCTCTCTATTCTGCCTTGGTTAGACCACACCTGAAAACACACTATATCCAATTCTGGGCAGCACAATTAAAGGGAGATATGGGCAAGCTGGAATGTGTCAAGAGGAAGGTGACTCAAATGATCAAGGGTCTGGAGAGAAAGCCCTATGAGGAGCAGCTTAAAGAGCTGGGTCTTTTTTGCCTGCAGAAGAGAAGGCTGACTGGTGACATGATGAGGGCCATGGTTCAAGATGTGAGGGGAAGACACAGGGAGGAGGGAGCAGGCTTGCTTTCTGCTGCCCTGGAGACTAGGACATGGAACAATGACTTCAAACTAAAGGACAGGAGATTCCGCCTGAACATTAGGAAGAACTTCCTTACTGTAAGGAGAGCTGTTCAGCAGTGAAATTCTCTGCCTCAGAGTGTGGTGGAGGCTCCTTCTTTGGAGGCTTTTAAACAGAGGCTGGATGCTCATCTGTCGGGGGAGCTTTGAATGCGCTTTTCTTGCTTCTTGGCAGAATGGGGTTGGACACGATGGCCCACGAGGTCCCTTTCAACTCTATGAGTCTATCTAGTTAACTACAGACCTTCAGGTCATTTCCCAGTTTATCAGCTCATATGCGCTGGTTGCTGACATTTTTCTTTCAAAGGATACTGAATAAAGCCAACCATGGATCGAGTCAAGGTTAAAGTCATTATGGTTACTAGACCCCAGACTTCTGATCAAAAGTGCAGGTTGCCAATTTAACCCCAGTTTTCAAGAGACAGGTAGGAATATTCCCAGCTACTCCATGGCAATCTCAAAACTAACTCTGAGTTCTAGGACTGGAAAAAATTCTGGTGGCTGTGTGGACAGAAAACACTGAGCTGGTGAGGCCAGAAGCAGTGAACAGAGTTGAGACTTTTCATCAATTGCAGCTTAAGGAACTCCTCTGTCAAGAAGCAGTCAAAATTGACATAGTCCTGGCTAGTTTTCCCTGCAGGGAAGGAGGAGAGGAGATAATTCATCATTGCTTTTTGAATTCAGGTTGCACCCAACCAAAGAGAAGCAAATGGGAAGGAAAGTTTCCTTAGTCATTGCTCCACCAAGCAAGAATAGAAGATCCAAGAACACAGTGGTCATCAATTCTTGATTAGCGCCAAGACCAACAAAAGATTGTGGACCATTCAAAGGATTCTATACAGAAGATGATTAAATACAATTAGTTGTGCCTTAATTATAAAGACTGTTGCAGCCTTTGATTGCGCCTGTACCTGATCTCATTGGGGATTCTGGGCCTGTTAGGTAGCCTGATGATGACAGTGGGGATTCTGGGCCTGCAGATCAGCAAGAGAATCAGGAGATTTTAAGCCCAGAGAATGAGAGCTCTCTGTCTGAGGGAGGCCACATTCCAGAAAGGCAGTTCCCGAGATATCCAAGATCAGAGGCAGAAATGGGCTCAGGGAAGGAAGATGCAATGAATGAAGATACAACTCCAGATGGACCAGCTAAGAGCAACTGTTAGATAGAGGGTTTCTCAGAAAGCAGTGCAAAAGTCAGCTCCCCTATTAATGAAGTAGCCCTTATCAGTTTTGGAAGGGCAACAGGCAGTTTTCTGTCTATATTAGAAAGGCCAGCAGAATATTCCCTCAGTTCAGACAACACTGGTCTTCCAAGGGATTTTTAGTTTCAGGTTTCCTTGTGTTCATGCTTCCTGATTCCATGTTTTATGTTTCTGTAGACTGTACTTGTGTTGAATGTTTGGACTTTACCTGCTTTTGTATTCCTGGCTTTTTATGCATTTCATGAACTCTGAACTCTGAGGATTATTCCTGTTTTATGGACATTGATTTTTACACTATTTGCTGGATTGCTTTTTATATATATTCTTCAATAAACTGCTTTGCTATTTTATCTTGAACTGAATTGTGTGTTAAGTACAGAGGTGATTCCCAGCCTTGGAGTGCAACAAAGACATTCTAAATAAAGGGATTGTATATGCATTGATAGGAACATCTAATGTTTTCAAAGGCAATGCCCTCTCTTTATGGAACTACTGTTTCCAAAAATGAGCTAATGAGTAATATAAATCTTGTCTAAATGCAAAGCTCAACTCTGTCACATCCAAGCACCTTCGGCTGGCATCAAACAATCTGGTGAGTACCAGTTAAATGGAAGAAGCAACTGACCACAGCTTCCAGCCATTTCCCCTCCTGATCCTCTTGCACAATAATTATTAATGAGGCAGAGGAATGTATTTTATTTAGACATTTCTCAGATGCATTTTCTGCCATACAAAGCACCCAATGTGGCTTACAGGTTAAATATATGTACACAAAACCCAATTAACACAGATTAACACATCAAATACAAAACATAAAACCAAAGCCAGGAGCAAATCCAGGCTACTTGGCTATAAACAACAGTGCATTTAAAAATCATTTCATCAGCTTGCTCCTCTTTCACAGTAAAGACATAGGCAGACACACCTGGGATGAGCTGTTTTCTCAAATGCATAGATTCCAAAATATTTAAGATCCCCAGCCGGGGTCCTAATATGAAGAGCAGATGTTCTCCATCCTGCCAGTGGAACAACAACAACAATAAAGGGCCAGCTTTAGCACTGAAGGTTAATCACCAGCTGCAGTGAATCTTGCCAACTGAAAGGTTGACAGTTGGAAGCCGGGTCAGGGTGAGCTCCTGACCTTTAGCCCAGCTCCCCTACTCACCTAGTGGATCGAAAACAGCTATGAGTAGATTAATAGGAACTGCATTAAGTGGGGAGGTACTTTAGGCACGCCATTTCGGAGGAAAGTTTACAAACAAAGAAAGCTCTTCGGCAAGGAGATGAAGCGATAGCACTCCCCTTTTCAAAAGATGCCGAATGATGAGAAAATGCCTACATATAACTCTATCTCAGTGTTTCTCAACCTGGGGGTCGCGAGGGGGTGACAGAGGGGTCG